ACTGTCAAACAGGCACAACATTTAACTTCTTTGGTTTGGTTTAAACTTTTAATGACAGCTGAACCTAAGACCCGCTTTTTATTAAACAATCTTAAATGGTGATTCTTAAGTTTGTTTGTTTTTTGTTTGTTTTTTGTTTTTAGAATACTTTACAAGTGGTAATCTTCAATCATGCTCCGTCTTCTACTACAAACCTCTGCTGATGCTGCTCTCACGCTGTACTGAGCTTTTCAAAACAGGTGCTTCAGTCATGACCTCTTTTCAAGGCACCTTGAGTGTAGAGCTGAAGAAGCACAGACTTTTCCTACCAATTCCCTCAAAGTGAGCTTCCTACACCCCTGTCCCAGTAGCCGTCCAGTCAGAAACACATTGTCTGACCTTTTCATAAACCAGAGCTGTTTCTCACTTGCAGCATAATTGATTTTATGAGATGAGTCATGGTCATGAAAGGCTGTTTATTTGGCCATGAGACAAGAAAAGGTCAGAGGATTGTGACTTTGAAGAAAAAGGTTACCTGTTTGTCCTTTAACCACCTTTTAACAACCTTTTTTCCTGTTATGTTAATTTATTTGTTTTCTCTGCAGGATGCGTGAGGACATGTCCACCATGGTGTGTGTGAAGGAGGAGGAGGATCCTGGGGAGAAGCTGTCCCAGGATGAGATCATTTCCCGGACCAAGCAGGTGATTCAAGGATTGGAGGCCCTGAAGCAAGAGCACCACTCCATCCTGGACGGCCTTCTGGGCACGTTGCGCTGCCTGAAGCAGGATGAGGAGGGCGTTCTCGTGGAGGAAAAATCGCACATGATCCGCAAGTCCCTGGAGATGCTGGAACTTGGGCTCAGCGAGGCTCAAGTATGTGTGTAGAGCTTCAGTGATTGGTTAATATCACTATGGATGTTAGACTGTTCTGTTATTCATTTAGGTTGGTCTGGGCAGGAGATTCAGGCAACAAGCAATTTAATCTACATGTCTTTTAACAAAACATAATAAAAAGGCAAGCTGTTTGTGAGTGGTTACACATTTAAATCTTCCCTTTTTAAGTTTAAGGATAGTATGTTTTCTTCTTTCTACTTTCTACTGTGTAGAAAGGACAGCAGAGGACAGCAGGTGGTTTTCACCTGGATAATTAATATCACAAGTTCAGTGAAAACCGCAAGAATCTTGCCTTTACTGAACACCATCTTTCCTTGCAATAGACACAGTAAAAGGTAAAAATATATTCAAGTCCATAGTGGATTAGATCATTAGAATTCTCTTGACACGGGAGTGTTTCTCTCTAGCTTGTAATTCTACTTTTTGTTTGGTCGATTGGGGAAAAGAACATATAGAAGCTTTAAAGCCTTGAAATTATGCAGAATATTTGCTCTCGTCATTTCACTTCACATTTCATTTCACAAGCAGTGAATGAGTCAGCGCTGATTCATTGTTGATGCTTTAGCCTTTTATCGCCATCTCCCAGCAAGCTTTGTCTAATAAATATACACACACTGTGCACACACCCCACAGACTGAATTTTCTACCTCCAGCATCTTTGCTTGGAGTTGTGGTAAAGTGTAATTTTCCTGCTCAAACACCCCTCATCTAATTACAGCCCTCCGAGCCTTTCACCTTAGACTGTATGCTTTTACCCAAAGTGCCTCACTCTAACATTAGTGGACACACATGTAGTTGTGATGGCAAGTGCACACTTACCCCTAGATAGCTTTAGTATCTACCATCCACATGGCTTTGGTGGAATTGTTTTAGTAGACAACCTTCTACTACATATATTAGTGTACGTGTTGTTATGAGAGCATAAACCCAACTGTAAATACAAAAGGGTCTGTATGATTGCAGACATTGCAGCATAACTGCCTCCTCTTTGCAGGTGATGATGGCGCTTTCAAACCACCTGAGCTCAGTTGAGTCTGAGAAGCAGAAGCTGAGGGTACAGGTACGGCGACTCTGCCAGGAGAACCAGTGGCTGAGGGACGAGCTGGCCGGGACACAGCAGAAACTGCAGAAGAGCGAGCAGAGCGTGGCTCAGCTGGAGGAGGAAAAGAAGCACCTGGAGTTTATGAACCAGCTGAAGAAGTACGACGAGGACTTGTCCCCCTCTGTGAGTGCTCAGGGCTTAAGAATGTGTTGCGATACTTTTATCTAAAATATGCGTGACCATCTTATCATTGGAACCAATATTTTGGGGTTTTCCCCCCCCCCAAGAACCTTATCAAAAACAGATACAATCAAAAGATGTCAGTATACACCATCTCACACGTTTTATGTATGTGTGATCTAACCCAAACTACAAAATGACTCTATCTGCTAATAGATTGGCAGTGTTTCTCTCGTCATTTAGAATCATTCAGCTATTTCATGAGTAATTTCTCTTCCTTTTTGGTTTTGGTCCTCTCTCCCTTCGCTGGTCATCCTGCTTGCTCTCTTCCTCTCTCCCCTTTCAGGAAGAAAAGGATTCAGACTCTACCAAAGAGACTTTGGATGATCTCTTCCCAGATGATCAGGATGATCAAGCCCCAGGCAGTAAGTGCTGTACCTTCTTCATCCTCTTTCTGCTTTGAGAGACTTTCACTCAATTTCTTGTCCTTGGACCCAAATATGAAATATAGTTTTTAGGCTTGGGATGTAGATTTCAGTGGCACGCTCTTTTTTAACTCCTAAATACTTTTGCAACCATAGAAAGAGAGAGCTGTGAGAGCTGTAAGTAAACTACTGTTTCCACCATATTAATAAGTGGCATCTGAATGCTGTGACATGTAGTTTTACTTTTTTAATCCCTGATAGACTCTACAGTTTTACCGCTGTAAAATTAAGATCGCCATGGGAACAGAGCTTTGCATCAGCAGCTCTCTTGTAATTTACTGAAGCTGAATCAGTGGATGTTTCCAGAGTCAGATAAATTGTGTGATACATGATGATAAGTTCTGGTGGTGAGCATGTTTGTGTGTCCAATTACCACTGTCTTTCAAACATGTATGCTCCAGTTTTTTATTGCTGCCATTGTTTGTTACCAGCCTTTTGCTCACTGTTAGATGGGGTGGTCTTTTCAGTAGCTCATGATGTAAGACCACAAAGCTTCATGGCTGTAAAGCCCCATTAGTCAGTCTAGCTATGGGACAGTGAAGTTGTGGCTCTGGATATCAAGAAAGGACTTAAAATGTAATTGTTTGTTATATCATGGTAAAAAGAGGAACCCATAAGAGCTTCTCATCCATTATTTGGTAACATGTTATGTATCTTATATTACATTATTATAGTCAATTTCCGGGGAAGTTTGGTGGCGCGGTGCTTAGCAATGTTGCCTCAGAGCAGTGGTTTGAATCCATTATCTGGCCAGAGCCTTTCATGTGGAGTTTGCATGTTGTCCCTGTGTCTGTGTAGGATGTCTCTAGGTACTCCGGCTTCCGCCCACAGTCCAAAGATAAGTAGTTACTGGGATGATTGTGTTGGCAATTTTAACTGGTGATTCTAAATGGGTCATAAGTGTGAATGTGAGGTGAGAGTCATTGTCTGTGTTAGCTCTGCTCTCTGTCCAGGGCTAGTGATAGGCTTCAGCAACCCTGAACTGGATAAGCAGAAGATGGATGGATAGTTATTTTCCAGATTAATTATTTGGACTAAATAGATGTCAAGAGGTAGTTAAAAAAATAGGAATGGGAATTATTAATTATTATTACTCCAAGGAGAAAGAAATTTGTTGTACTACTCATTATGTTACTTTCATGTTCTTCTGTAAAATGACCTGAAAGGGTTCTTTTAGTAATTACCCTTTAAAAGTATAAACCTGTAGCCTAAAGTCCAACACACCAACACAAATCTCCTAATGATGACACACAGAATAGTTAGCATTACACAAAGCCTCTCTCAGTAGAAGACAAAGCCAACAACACAAAGTAAAGATGACTTCAAAACGACTTTAAAATTATCGCCACTGTGATTCTACTGTAGAAACATGAACAGGTGGAATTGGAGGATACAGCCTGATTGCTCATCACTTTGTTACCTGGGCTGAGGTCGGCATTCACTCAGCTTCAGCATCACTCTGGCTTCTTGGCAAGCTTAGTGTTAGCATGCTGCCTCTGCAGATGCTTGCAAAGAGCCGAAGTTATGTTAGCAGCATTATGCAGCTGTTTCTGTCCTGGATTCAGAGCCAGTATTTTCCTCCTCCTGCACTGAACTGAAATCAGCTAGTGCGAGTGCAAATGGAACCGATAAACGAGAGTGACATTTCCAAGAAATGAGACTGACAGGAACTGGTTCTCCACTCCTATCCCTATATGTCATATTGCCTAAATTGCAGTAATGGTAATGGTAATGGCCTGTATTTATATAGCGCTTTTCTAGTCCCTAAGGACCCCAAAGCACTTTACATATCCAGTCATTCACACACATTCACACACTGGTTATGGCAAGCTACATTGTAGCCACAGCCACCCTGGGGCGCACTGACAGAGGCGAGAGACACTGGCGCCACTGGGCCCTCTGACCACTACCAGTAGGCAACGGGTGAAGCGTCTTGCCCAAGGACACAACGACCGAGACTGTCCAAGCCGGGGCTCGAACCGGCAACCTTCCGATTACAAGGCGAACTCCCAACTCTTGAGCCACGATCACCCCCAGTACTGACTCAAAAATTGTTATTAATATTAATGAGATGATCTCCAAAAAATGCATTTCATGAATGCACAGTTTCCAGAACACTTTTTAAAGAGACCCCACTTCAGGGACAGAGTTTTAAGACTAATGAAAAACATTAGTTTTTTGCTCCCAAAGGTTTTATTTTCCATTTTTTCCCCTTCATTGCCTCATTTGCCTCATCCCGTGTGGTATCAGTTTATTGGCCAGTCTAATTTGCTGACAGACTGGGCTGTAAACGGTTTGCCTCTTGTGCTGTGTAACTGCTGTAATCCACTGCTTAAGACAGACTACACATATTTGTCCTGCATTCCTATTCTATTTAATTTAATGAAATCTTTACAGTAAAAGCATTTCCTTTACATGGATCGCTCGCTTCATTATTGTGGTTTTGCGTATTGCCCTTGGGAGGGTGGTGATAGAGCACATGCTGTGAGCACCATTAAATGAATTATGATGAGACAGGAGAGTTTAATGGGATGTAGCTGTGAGCGAGAAATTGGTTGGAGAACAAGGACAAGGGTAATACCAGACAGACTTTATGCATCATAAAGCTTAATAAAAATGTATGTTGAGGTCAATACTCCATAATTATTAAATAATGCATTTCTCTTTGGAGATAGTGAGATACAAATGTCACTGTAAAGGGTATATATTGAGTTGGTCAAGAAGCATGCAGTTATTGCAGTACACCTGCACCCATTCACATGTCAACACATAAATGTTGTGTATACACACCCACACATACACAAATTTCTGCTTCTGCCCACATCAGTGCTTACAGTAAATACTGTCAGGTAGCTACATTTGATGACAGTGTATATACATTTAAAATAACTAAAATGAAGAGAAAATGAAGTACCAGATGTGCAGAAGACTGGAGCTTAGAGAAGCAGCAGCTTTAACTACTATAGAAAAGAAATGACCTGCCATACTTTATCGAATCAAATGAAGACTAGACAATACTAATTAAGAAGTAACCAGAGTCTTTCAGGTGTGAGCTGGTAAAGGACTGAGACAGAACTGAACTCGTGGAGACGCAGTGCTTCATCGAATGCCTTTTGCACTGGCATTAATCCTCTCTCTGTATGAAACTGAGCTGCCTGAGGCTCTGCATGAGCTCAGTGGATACTGGGTTAGTGCTGGAGTAGATTAGATGTCTTTCCTTTCCAAGCTGATTCAGACTGCCTGAAAAGCTTGTGGGGTTTTTGTAAATTGCTGTCAGCAGGAAGAAGACAATGGTGATGACATTCCTGCTTTTTTAAACCACTCAGGGCCTTATGCAGTGTTTTTCTGTGCTAATATTTACATTTAACTCACTTAGCGTTGACACTAAATGAGTGTCACAGCCTGCAACATATTCCAGCATATCTGTGAATGTTTGGGGCAGATTTTAACTAGAATCATGCAAAGCAGAGGTCTGGCTCCAAAAATAGAGCATCCTGCACTTTTCATAGTGCGACACAGTGACTTTCCCCCCCCCCCCCTTTGGTAACAAGTACTCTCCAACACAGTGCTAGGGGTTATGTAAATCGGGTGGGAGTACTCTTAACAAGCATGGAAAATGACTGCCTTGTCAATCAAAGCGCTAAGCATCGTCCACATATTTACAGAGGTGCACAAAAATCATGTGAATAATAAATATTAAAATCAAAGTCAGAATCGGTAAAGAATACCAACAAACTGGGTCAACAGTAACACGTCCACATGTAACGCAATTCACTGCTCACGCTTCACTTGTAGCTGAGAATCATTTACATTGATGGAGTCTCGCTTCTGCTTCCTTCTTCCATCAAGGGTTTGTCGTGTTTTGATGATGAAGTTGTGTTTTCGGTCATTATTCAGACGTTGGCTGGTTCCAGTTTCTAAGTTTTGAGGATTTGATGCGTTTATTTGTAGACATCAGTTGACTCATAGTGAAGATGTGTGAGTTGACTACATACCTGCTGTTTTTGTCCGTTTCTGTTCTGCTGTCACTGCGTTACTTTCCTGTGAACAGCAGCAGAGGTAGGCTGTGGTTTGCCCCCACTTCAGAACACCTGGAATCACTTCGTGTCCGGACATTTCTCTGTGGTCATTGTTATTACTGCAGTGGGCGGCTCCTACTCGAAACCCTACTGGCTTTCCTTCAGAGTAAATACAGAACTGCTTGCCTTTAATAAGAAACCCCATCAAGTGGTTTCCTGGCCTCTCACACATTCATGCATTCTTAGACACTCGCATATAGAGACAGAAAGACAGACAAACAGACTATTTATCACAAGAGACATTCCAGTCATGTCCTTCTGGCCCTGTTAAATGTAGCACTCAGGAGCTGGTACTTGAGCTGTGCGTAATGGGGAAAAAGAGGACATTGTTTATGGGTGAATAAGCTTGTTTGTGTTGCACATATGTTAAAAGGCAGCCAGTTTGTGTTTGCTCTAGTCAGCATTGACCCTTTTCCATCATCTTAGACACCCACTGGTTTCAAATACTTCTTTCATTTTAGAGGAAAACTGTCACATAACCAGCCTATCAGCTTTCTTTTCACACGTCTCCTATAAAAAACTTCCATTAAACTCCTGTTATTAATAAATCTTTGTTCTTCTGTCATCCATAGTCACAGACTCATTCAGGTTTTAAAGATCCAGCCATCTGAGCCATATTAATGAAATGAATGAACTGCAGTTTACAGTATTGCTATTTATGAATGATTAATATTTATTTTATTCCATGTGATGGGATATCAAATTTGCCTAATTGTGTAATGTTGTGAAACTAACGAAAAACTGGAAAAAGCAGTTTCACAAAATTACACAATTGCCATCTGGCCTTTCTTTGTGGAATTTGCATGATCTCCATGTGTCTGTGTGGGTTATCTCCGGGAACTTCGGCTTCCTCCCACAGTCTACAGACATGGGGTGAGTGGGGTTAGTTTAATTGGTGACTCTAAATTGGTCGTGAATGTGAGAATGGTTATCTGTCTCTCTGTGACTAGCCGAAGTGTCTATTGGCGGCTGGTGAGGTCTGATCGACACTGTTTATTTTTACAAAACAGCTCACAAAGCCTTTTGCTGCTCAGCTGGTTGGAATAGAGTTTCTTTTCATTTGAAGCAATGGATTATCAGGGATTGAATAAAAAATTTAATAATAAATATCAATATATATATAGCCCTTTAGACGGGACTTGCTAGTGTGTTTTGGATCATTGTCCTGCTGCATAACCAAAGAACACTTAAGCTTGGGTGCAAACTGATGTTAGTTTTATGCCAGATGTAACAGGACTCGCACCTTCCAAAAAGTTCACCTTTGGTCTCGTCAGCCCACAGGATATTTTCCCCAAGTCTTGGGGATCATCAGGATATTTTTTTGGCTAATGTGAGACGAGTCTTTGTGGTGTTTTTTTTGGTCAGGAGTCAGAACTCTCCCATGGATGGCTTTTTTGCTCAGACTTTTTTTGTTTTATTGATGAATATGAGCTTTGTAATACTTTTCAAACTGATAGATGTCAGTGACTTTGTTTCTCAGGTATTTCTTTAGATTGTGGTGTGACGTGTTGCTTTTTGAGATAACTTTGTCACAGAGGTTCTGTTAAGTGATTACAGGTGTGGTAATCAGGGCTGGGTGTGGTTGCTGAAATTCAATTCAGCTTTCTGAAAAACAGGGCTAAAAATAATTAATTCATGATTTAACAGGATGGGACAATTTTTTGTTGTTTGGCTTATAATAAAGTCAGTTTGATCTGAAACATGAAAGTGTGACAAATATGTAAAATAATAAGAAATCAGGAAGGAGGAAAATGTTTTCCACTTTTTTTTTCATACCTTTTCACAGCCCTGTGTACAGTATATCACATTACTCTAAATAGGTCAGATACAAAATACCAGGTTGTACTTAACAATCATTTTCTATACAGTGCAGTGATGGGTTTTTCCTAATTAATCATTCATTTACTTTCGTATTTTTTGTCTGTAGTCCAGGCAGCCCACAGCAGCGCTGCAGCAGCTGCTGCTCAGCAGGGAGGATACGAGATTCCTGCTCGACTGAGGACCCTCCACAACCTGGTGATCCAGTATGCGTCTCAGGGCAGGTATGAGGTGGCTGTGCCTCTCTGCAAACAGGCTCTGGAAGACCTGGAAAAGACTTCAGGACACGACCACCCAGATGTGGCCACAATGCTTAATATCTTAGCCCTTGTTTACAGGTAAACTCCTACAACATCTAATAATATGCACATGCATTTTTATGTATTTATCTTTTTCTAATGAAAGCCGGTGATGTCCTGTTTTTAAAGAGATCATGTTGCTAACTGAAGTGAGGTGGTCTATATAATGAATGAATTTCATGCTCAAAAAGAGTTTTGTTTGTAGTCTGCATTGTTTCATAAACTCCAAAATCCTCTTACACTTAAACAGCTTTTAATGAATTCTTGTGTTTGGAAGATATCATAAAAAGCTAAGATTTTAACATTGAGATAATAACAGCACATTTTGTCATTCTGTCACCCTCACAACACTGTGGCATGTCTCTTGAAACCTTTGGCAGGGATTCTTTGAGTGTTGTGTGACTGGCTTCTTAATGAGAGCTGGATGCCTTTGTCAGAACAAGCCAAACGTAGCCTGACAAAGATTTATAGGACAGTAACAGAAGTTAATTTTCCAGCCCAACTAGACAGGAGCAAAGGAATGACGCTTAAAACCTGGACAAATGTCGCATAGGATTGTTGCCATGTTTTTCCATTTACATAAATCTAAGCCACTGAACAATCAGCTTGAGCTTTTGATATAGTTACCTAAAACAATGAGAGTCTGGGGTGACTTGTTGTCAGTACTCTTGTGCACTGGCTGTGGGAACCACTGAAAATGGTGGCCCATTAGTTGAACTTGTCAGCATAGTTTATGTTTGTGTTCATGTGTGCTTGTCTGTTATTCTGCCCATCTCTGTGTCTGTATTTCAGTCTGACTCTGTCTGCTTTGGTCTCTCAGGGATCAGAACAAATATAAGGAGGCTGCCAACCTGCTGAATGACGCTCTGGCCATCAGGGAGAAGACACTTGGCAGGGACCATCCAGCTGTGAGTGTATTTGTTGATACATTGCATATAGTTCTTCTGTTGTGCTCTGTATTTCTTGCTTTAGACAGGTGAATGATGTTCTTTGTTGTATCGGTGTAATCCCGTTGATATTAATGGGGATAGATGTGTTGCACTGTTTCACAGCATGAATTATTTCCAAATGGAGGTTGTTCTTACAGTCAGCGGTGGTGAAACATGAAGACAAATATAGTCATTTGTTAAGACATTCAGGCCAAATTAACAGTATTGTAGGTATAGTTGGATGTATTGATTTCCCTTCTTTGAGAGCTTAGCACCATGAGTGAAAGGTAATTGGACCAACAGATTGGAAAACCACACAGGGTAGCATTCTCTGCTGTAGAAAGAGCTCAGTGCTTTCATGCAATAGCATTATCATTTCTGAAACTGCTTAGGACCATAAAGTTCTCCACCAAGTAAGTGTGGGTCTACAATTTTTAGTACTATTACCAAGAATCCTAATAAAAAAGACAGCTGAGCTTAGGCTGAATTACAGGTTACAGACAAGCCAGAAACACAGTAATCTATAACCAGTCTTCTACCCTGCGTTAATATCAGTCACACAGTTTGTATATTTGCTGTCCTTAAGCATTACAATTTTGACAGTTATGGCAAGTTATAGTCAAAGCTAATGGTAACCTTAGCCACATTATTGACTTTCTGATGGTGGTTCAGAATTCAGGAATACTCTCGTCTTTGCACTTAGCTTAGCTCAGAGAAGCTGCTTTGGCTCTAGCTATAAAAATATCTTCTGAAAATTTTGAGTATGTGCCAGACTAGGTGCTTGGAACAATTATGCAAATGTTACATTGTGACATAGGTGAGTCGCAGGACTGTGGGCAGTTCAGGAGCAGTACTTTCTGTTGGAGAGAAAAATTCCCTATGGATTTCAGATTTTGTAACTTTGCAGACATTTTACTTGCATTTGGGGAAAAAATATATAAACAGTAGTATAGAGTTTATTCTATTGCAGTACTTTAATGTGATCTGGGCCAGTTGATGAGTTTCCCTTCAGCACATGCAGCCATAAATCCTGGAGGCCCTTCCTGATGAAACCCGAATAGCTGTGTATCCTCACAGTCTTAAACTAAGATTTTTTTGCGTTAGGTGAATATGTTAACTACTATACTGTGGAGCTTCAGACCGCTTTTCTGGTTCATAGAAAATATGGTTGGCCCAGTTCACTTTATTACAGTCTTTATATTATTTATAGTAGAGCACATCTGTTTACTTCATATCACACAAATATCTCACAAAAAGCATAGCAACCTACCTCATACATTTAAAATGATACCGTAGCATGTGTTTGTCCAAGGCTGTGACAAGCAGCGTGGGTGTCATTAATAATTTACCCCGGCCTGTTCTCAGATTCTTTAACCTCTCTCTGTCAACGTGACTGTACGCATGCAGCAGGTTAACCCCAGCAGGCCTGTGTCTCCACTGTTCGGACCTTCGTCTCTCTTCACTGTGTGAAACAGAGGTTAGCCCTCTCCACGTCTTCCCCTTTTTTCCAAAGAAGAAAGTGATTTTTTTAAATTTATTTTTTTTAACCCCAGTGATCCATCACCCAGACGAAATCTGACACATTACCTGATATGTGATTAAGCATAGTGATTTTTCTTCCTCTTAATCATATCATTTTTATAGAATTTCTTTTCTCTTCTTTCTGTTTTCAATGTGCAGTATTGTAAGCCACTTCTAACTTTAGCCTGACGAGTAAACAATATGTTGAGGTCATGTTCTCTTTTCTAATCAGTCGTGAACTTCTGGGTAAATCATGTACCAACACACATACATAGGTCAAAGTGGACTTGGACTATAAAAACTGGCTCTTGGTTTGCCACTAAAAAGAAAGGCGACAATCTGCTGAGGTAACTGAAAAAGGCGGAGTTGTGGTTTCGACTCTAAAGAGACACAAACACCTTGATTTTGAGGTCAAAACCCCACCAACTGAAGTGTCCAGTCCCCGAGATTCCCGTTGACGCTGCTACTTTGGCTCTACATGGATCTGGCTGAGTCTGACAGGGATGTTCAGGAGAAATGAGCACTATGGTCTGAATCGCAGTAGTGTTCTGCTTTCTGTGGATATAATGCTAAATTTAGTCGTCAAGTCTGTGTGTCGTAATGCTTTCTGAGTACTGAAACCACTTTTAGTGAATGACTTAAAAAATGTCTTCCTCAGGCAAACTTCTCCGTGTGTGTGTGTGTGTGTGTGCGAAAGACAAAAAGTGAACACATAAAATACATGTACCACCTCCATCTGAGCCATTTAACATGACTTATTTTAGCTGCCTATCCAACTGGGTGCAAAATGTGTACAAATGTCCGTTTCTCTGACGTAAACATCCAGCTATATTTATAGTCTATTGGGCTGTAACTGCTCTTGAAATGTGCTTGAGGTATCACTGACATTTCAAAAGATCAACAGATCCATTGAGATGCTGAGGCTGTATTCTCCAAGCAGCTAGTACACATGAGCTGTATAATCTGGCCTGCATAACCATTGTCAGGAACTTTGTCCCTTCTGTAATCTAATTATAATTAAAATAATTATGTAAGTATGTGTCTGACTTTATGATTCTTAATACAAACACAAGATGGATGTGAAACTGTGAATTTGTCTGTAAGATTTGAAGGCTTTAGGTTAATCATCGACAGGTTTGTGATCAGACTATATAATCTGTAGCTCCTGTGCTTTAAAAAAAAGTTCTCTAAATGTTCTTTTTTATATTTTCACCATTTTTGAGATTGTGACATGAGGACAAATTAAGTCTTAAAGAGCGACAAAAAGTGTTCTCAAACTGTAGGAGTTTTGTCCCTCTCTTCCTCCCATCTTCCTGAATAAGCTCCCGTTCCTCCCATCACTTCAACCCTCTGCCCTTCCTCTCGTTTCCTCCCACTCTGCTCACATGGCTGCCAGAACTTGGTGTGAATCAGAGATCAGTGCTCACCTCAGGTCCCCTCTGCAGTCTCCCCTCACTCGTCCTATGTGCACATGTTGGAGATTCATCACTCAGCTGATTTGGATCAAATTACAGCCCGGCATAATCACTTCCTGTTTCCCCACATCCTCTTATTCCTTGTCAATTTCTCACTCATCAGACCAATGACACCACACTGCTGCTGTTGTAGACTCTTGCGGTTGTCATTGTGCAAATGAGTGAACATGTCTATGAGGCCAGGAAGAATAGAGCATTGTGGGATAATAAATGTGTTTGTGTCCCTATCAGGTTGCTGCAACTCTCAATAACCTGGCTGTCCTGTATGGGAAGAGAGGGAAGTACAAGGAAGCAGAGCCTCTGTGCAAGAGAGCGCTGGAGATCAGAGAAAAGGTGGGTACGCGGTCATCAAACACTGTGATGAGTCGATGCACTAGCGAGTACTTTCACTTATAGACGGACTTTGTGCTCCTGTACTGAAACACTTCAGACTTCACTCAGAATATTTCATTTGGAGGCAGCAGAATGAATAGTAGGAATTAAAATATTCAGACAGCACTCAGCAACTGACCACTTGTCCCTTCAGCTTTTCATTTCAACACAGCAGATATTTACTATAACTGCAACAGATGAACTTGTTTAGAATATCTAAATTTTAAGTTTTGCACATAATTAACAACAGTATGAGCTTTTCATGTCTAGTGGCCGTCACTTATGTTTATTGTTGGATTTAACAAACTGTGGACACTATGTGTCACTATGTGACACATTTAGAGGCCTCATCATTAGTTTTTAGATACCACTGTGTTTTATTTGGGGGTGGTGACCATGTTTATGAGATGGTGAAGTGTTAAGTGTGTGAATGTGTGTGTGAATGGGTGAATGACTGAATGTAGTGTAAAGCGCTTTGGGGTCCTTAGGGACTAAGTAAAGCGCTATACAAATACAGACCATTTACCATTTATGTTATTAGCTAACACTAGCAAGCTTGGTTAGCAAGCTGCATTTAACCGTGTTTAACATACACAGATAACTTGCCGATGAGTGCAATAAAAACTTGATTATACTCATATAAAACTGAACATAAACTTCTTGGACAGCTAAATCCAAATTTAGCTAAATCCATTTAATTTGTAGTTCAGCTGTAGCTGGTAGAAGTCGGGCCTCGCACACAGTGATCAGCTACAGCTATTTGAGTTGGCATGTATGCCCCCCCCCCCCCAAAAAAAAAAATTGCTCTGTGCTGCCAACTTCCCCAAGGGCTGGCTCCAACTGAATGTTTTGTTTTCATGGCTGTGTTTCTCTTTGTGAGGCAATGACTTGATTTCATGCTTAAGACTATAAATACCCAGAAGAAAATGCAGAACAACCACACTCATGTTTACTTCGATTGTGTTTTAAAACAAAAGACCAAAACATCAGTACAGGACTCAGAACAGCTTTCAGTTATTTGGGGGGGG